ATATATATATATATATATATATATATATATATATATATGTACTGAATAGTAACTTTAATGCAAGCTTTTTATTTTCATTAAAAAAAAGCAATATAGAGCAGAAACAAATTAAAAATAAAGAAATGGGAAAAAGAAAAACAAGGAAAAAATACATATTAACATGCATGAAGAAAGAGAAGACAACAAAAACATTCCAATTCCACTCCTAGAAAGGAAACAAAAACAACAAGGAACCAAAGTGAAGAGAGTAAAAAAAAGGCAGCTTATCCTCACTAACGCAGTTTGCATATAGACGAAGGAAACGTGATTCTGGGCAAATGAAGACATATAAACATGATATAGGACTCAATGCGCATTCAACAATCTCCGAAAAATACGCATTTGAGTACTAACACACACACATGAAAAAAGGGGGAGATGAAATTTTTTTAAAAAAGGGGGCGGAGGAAAAGCTCACTTTAACATAACAGCTGACATCAAATTATACTGAAGAGGAAAATATATTTAAAAAAAGCAAAAAAAGAAAGGAATGAAAGCATTAAACATAAAGACGCTTTAGATTATTAGTGTCTTCGCCAAGCGGTTTCCGGGGCAGATAAATGCCCCTCTTCATATCATATCCTTCAAAAAACACTGGCAATCGCGGATGATAGCCCACTGCAAAAGGGTTGCGCACACTACGCAGAACTGACTCGGGCACTATTAATTCACACGTCCTTTGACGAGATTCGGGGTATGGAGTAAGAACCAGATACCACGGTTTATCAATTGCGCCCAACATATCCGTTTCATCCGCAGACATTTCGGTCATCAAAACAGGAAAACGAATCGCAATCACCACTCGGTCATGGCTTCCATTCACTTGAGCTATTTCACCGAGCGAAAATCGGTAATTTGCGTTGTGAAGTGCATCCGTTGTAAGGTATGAAAGACGTCTATCTAGGAAGGAAAGCCACTCCAAAGCAGTAAAGGCAAGAGATGGATGTTCGCCGCTGGAAACAGCCTTCTGAATACTTTGCTCTAATCGAAGAAGATTTCCGTCAGAAGGATCCACAACGTACGGGAAAAGGCACTGATACTTCAAAAGAATTTGCTTCAATCCATAAGGATGCAATGTTCCGAATATAGGTATTAGAACATCGTTGTATAAAAATTTGTGTCGCAGAAGAGCCCTACAAAGGCTATAATATAACGTCGTCATATTTTCGTAATATCAGTAATTCGACAATATGGAGGTGAAGTCACACACACACACAGAGCGAAAGAGAAAGAGGAAGAGAAAGAAACTAATAGCCTACCCTTAAAGGCCAGAAAAAAAACCATGAAGAAAAAAAGAAGAAACAAAGAAAAAAAAGACATTACAAGAGAAAACAAAAGCAGACATACATGATAAGAAGATCAAAAGGAAGACAAAAAAAATAATAAGATTTTCGCCAAATACATTTTTCAATTTCAGGAAAGTAATACTAGTTTAACAAGAGAAAGAAGAATCAATGAAAGAACAAAACAACATGCCCAAAGTCAGTGCTTACTAGTTCAAAAAGCAGCTAGGGTCTCGGCAAAAACATACCCTTTTCTTTCAGCGAAAACTCCCTCTTAACCTCACGTCTAAGTGCTTGTAAAGGTGTGCGTGCGGCATTGAAGGTGCGGAACTGTTGCGAAGACGCCTGGCGTATTTTTCTGTGATCCAAAGCGTCATACTTTCGCCGCGGGGGACCACGGGCACGCGCCATCACCCTTTCGCGAAAAGGCCGCCGAACAAACGCATCGAAGTCCGCGGCGCGCGGCCGACCATCGCTCCTTCCCTTCGGGCGAAACGTGTGCCTCGCGAGAGGGTAAAAGTACCTAAAGCTCATTGAGAGAAAAGAACACACTGCGAAAAAGAGGGAGAGGGGGTGGAACAAGACGAGGTTGTGAGGGAAAAAAGCGGGGCCCGGCGGGACAGCAGCAAAGAAGGCACATCCCATCCGGCCGCCCCACTGT